GGAAAGTCACCAGACACGTATGAGTTTCTTCCGGAATAGAGAGATGATGTGGGGATTCCTGAGGATCTTGAGGCTGAGATATCTGAATCTGTTGGGATAGTTTCTGATTCTGGAAGCATTGAAGATAGGTTCTCTAATTCTCTCACAACTTCCAGCATTGAAGGTCGACGCTCTGTCTCATCCTCACAACACTTGAGGGCTAATGCCATAAATCTTCTGAGGCATTCGGAAGAGTATGGACCCATGCCGTTGTCTATTACAGAGTACATCATCCCAGATTGACATGCTGAATTCACCTGTTGTTGCATTTAAATCATGGCATCTTCTCAGACGTTAGCATGTGAACGAAGGCATATTGGAGAGTGCTGGGAAAAAACTTATAAAAAAAAAAAAAAAAAAAAAGAAAAAGAAAATCAAAGTACCTGCTGGACAATGCTTCTACCATGAGAAACAGGCTTCATTCCTGTCAACAACTCGAGAAAAACAATTCCGAGGCTATAAACATCACTCTTGTCTGTTACCTGGTGAGTGACTGAGTAAGTACTGAGGATCAAGGTAGCCCTGCAATAGGAAGATAAAGTGGAAGTGATTCACTTTGAAAATTTGAAGCATAGGTGTTCAGTGTTCAACCATTTAAAGGATCAATCTGAGAAAGATGACCTGGAGAATCCAAATTTCATAACTAAGTTTCAATAATGTAATTACTGGTGGCCTCTCACAACAGTGAACACATGACCTCTCCTGAATCACTTGGAACTGGTGCAAGCTGAGATTCCGAAATCAGAAACTTTGCAGTAAATTGGGAATCCAACAATATGTTGTTGCCTTGATATCTCTGTGGATGATCGGTGGGTCAGCTTCTTTATGGAGGTAGATAATGCCCTTGGCTGAACCCAATGCAATATGCAATCTCATCGCGAAACTCATAGGATTTTGGAATCTACCTGTCATAACACAAACAATATCAAATTCACATCGATATAGTTTGCAAGTGGTAGAACAAAACCAAGTTTTGCAATAGTAAACTGGGGAAAAAATCATAGGATTACCATATAGGAGGTCATGAACAGAACCATTAGGCTAAACTCATATACTAACATCTGCAAACACAAAAATCAAGGATACTTTTGAGTATTAGCAGTTAATGAAGCTCACTACCTACTATTAAGTGTATCTTATTTTACTTGAGCAATTTTATCTTGTTCTAAAATTCAAGGCATGTTATGAGGAGAGTATCAAAAATTTTCTGATAATGCATAATATTTCCAGAAGTGGCATGGATAAGGTACCTGCTCGCCTCTTCATCACAATATCCAATCAATGAAACGAGGTTGCGATGATGTAAACGCGACAAAATTTCTATTCAGTTAAGAATTCTCTCTCACCCTGCAAGGATCCTTGCTGTGCCCTCTGATTGCCACAGCTGTGCCATTGTCCAAAATGCCTTTAAACCTTTCCATAGCCTCCTTGACCAACTAGAAGGACTCACTAAAACCACTGGTAGCTTTTTGAAGTTCTGTGAAACTAAATCCTTGACACTTGCAGCTTTGATTGGAATTTTTGCAACTGTTAAAAGAAACATCATTTATGCTTCTAAATATAATACAGAGAAAGTAGCCCTCTAGATCAAGGCAAATACAAAAGAACTTACTTGACTGTTCTTTGAAACCTCTTGCTTGTGTTTTGATTCTTTTTTGTAGAAAATAAACAACATGACCAAAGATATTGCAATTAGGCCAGCAATGGACCCTAACACAATTCCATCACAGCACCTTTGCTCATGCCTGATTTGATCTTTGAGATGCTGCAACAAGACAGGTTTTAGAACCCTTGCCAGTTAAGTTCAAGAAATGCAACAAAATGATTAACTATATTTATTGAACTACGAAGTTTTGCATACCATGAAAATGAGTAATACTCTTAGGTAGATCATTGAGATAGTGATAAGTAAATAGTAACCCACAAGAATATGCAGACCAGAAATGGGGCGGAACTACAATTTTAATTGGAAAATTTTGCAGCCTTGAGACTTACCATCTGCATAAGGTCCAGGGAGTAAAATTGATCAGTTCATAGGCCAAAGACATCATTCAAAGGAAGAGTAAATGTAGCAATTTCGTATAATCCGATAGACCTCACTCTTGTTAAATTCATTGTAGTACATTGATATACTGAGGAAAAACCTTTAAGCTAATCAATGCCTAAGATCCACTGCCATAAAAATGAGTTGATAAGTAGTTGATAAGGATTCAAGCCAAGACTGGAAGTCACGTACAGCACAAATGCATCCTTGTATGGGGGAAAATCGGAATGCTAGGACTTTTCAAACGTACATCAACTCCAAGGGGCAGAGCACAGAAGCAGGAAGCAGGCGATGGGACATATTCCATATGCAAACTTGCCGGACAGGACGTGGGTGGCAGGTAGGATTAAAAGTGTTATAGAAGTTCCAGAAACCTCATCATCTCCGATATGGGTCCACAGAATTGAACTATATTGAATTTGTTGCACTTGTACAAACAGGATTGCCCTGAAGCCTAAGCAGTCCAAAAAATTGCAACTGATAAGTCAAATAAACTGCTTACATGGATTTCTATTTGTAAAGACTAAAAACACTCACCTAATGGTGACATTTGGAGGAGGATCTATAGTACCCGAAACATTTGTAAGTGAATTATTCTGGAAATCCCTGCAAGAAAAACACAGAACAAAGAAGATCTTATGAGAATTCGGTAACTAGATTGGAGTATTGATGTTCGACCATGTTCCTGATGTAGTTTAATCTCAAAACTAAGCAAATAAAAACCATTAACTTTTTCTTGTCTTACAAGGTAAGGGTCGCATTTGCATGAAAATTAACATTCTGCCAAATGTTTGAGGGAACACTGCTGCTCAAATTATTGTTTTCAGTACCTGCAATAAATTACAAACTAGCTTTATAATTATTTCATATGGAAGATATAAACAGCCATTCTTAATTATTTCATGGAAGATAAATTTCTAAACACATGTATCTTTCAATTATTGAGGAATTCTAAAGATTTCAATTAAAAAAAAAAAATTGAGATTAAAAATGAGGAGAGCCTCTTACAGTCTCTGGAGAAAAGTAAAGCCTGAAAAATTTGAGGGGATAGGTCCAGTAAGCATATTATTGGATGATCACTGCAACATTGAAACAAAACAGGTTACTTTATATCTCAATGTAAAAGAAATTCATTATAAGCAATAGCAAGAGATATTTATGTATGTATATATGAAAAAATGTAGCATGTGTAAGGAACTTAGAACATTGACAATGACATACATAGTTGTGATATTGTTGGCAAGCTTATTTGTTGGTATGCTTCCGGTAAGTGATTCGAGCTAAGATCTCTGTAACATGAAAAGTAATCGAGGTCAGATATACGATGAATCCAACTCTTAAGAAAGCCTTAGTTAATTGGTAAGAGCTGGTTATGTAATTCAGCAATTTTTCAAATGACTACTTGGAATGTGCACAGATGATAATCATATAAATGCTGAATGAAAAATTGTGGAGATAAATTATAATTTGACTAGCTTGGTTCAACTAAAAGATATAACCATCATTTATGCAAAGAAATTATCAACAAATACAAGTAAAGAAGGTTGGTGCACTGCTCAAATCAGGATAGTTCCTTGCAATCTGCAGTTCCTAAGACTCCTGTTGAGTCGAAAGGAAAGAAATAAGCACAATGTTTTGATCCTTCAGTTTGTGTATCTATTGCCTTCATACGTATATTTTCACTTGGCAGTGTATAAATAAAATAAAAGAAAAATCCATGGGAAGGGAGAGAGATTACAGCTTCACCAGTCCGGTCATGTTTTTATAAGATTTGGAATCTCAGTGCCTTCAAGTTGTTGTTATCAAATTGTCTGCAACAATAAGAGAAATGGGGTTATTAGCCAGAGACCAAAAGGTTTGAAATACGGGAGTCTGATAGTCATTACACGAGAACTTGAAGGAATGGTGACCTACAGAATCCTCAGGTTTCGCATCCGGGAAAATTCTGGCGGAAGAAGAACCCTGATAAGTTGTTATTGTCCAACAGGCTACAAATTAAATTTATCAAAATATTATGTCATTGCAACAACAGAAACATACTCATTGTGTAAAATAAAGCAACATCAATAAAAATGTAATGAACTCACAAGTGTAAGAGTTGAGGTAATACAGAAGCTCTGGTGGAATTGACCACTGATTGGTTGTTGTTCAAATGACGCCATTAAAAACAACATGAATAACTGCTTTTTGTAAAGGATTTGGCTAACTAGAAGGCACTTACAAGTGTCTGGCCCTTGTCATATTTGCAAAAGTTTTTGGCAGTGGTCAGAAATATTGTACCGTCCAGGGTTAACAGTGTTACATTAGAAAGAGAACCAACTCATCTGGTAAGGCCCTGATATTTGATTTCCGCTCAGAAGCCTGCATGCAAATGAAATACACTTCCACATATAGGTGCGAAATTTTCATGGAGTAATTAAAAATAAGTTAAATGATAACGGCATCCAACTATAAAGTTTCACTCGACTAAAGGCTTGTAATTTGATCCTCAAGAAGAGTTAAAGTAATCAGATTGCCTATCTCCTTGGGTATGCTGCCGGTTAAATTGTTCCACATAAAATTCCTGGAAAATGAAGTAAAAAGCTAACTAAATTGATTAACAAATGGATGAAGGTTCATGGCAGAACAAAAGATATCATCAAGATGATCACAGAATGACATGACTCACAATACGGTCATTGAGAAAAAACCCAAGTTCCGGAGCTAGTTTCCCAGAAAGTTTCATGCTTAGCAACCGCCGTATTGCGAGATAAACCATGAAAAACCAGAAAATGTATTAGTCCGAACAATCCATCAATGTGTTCAATTCATAAATGTGCAATCAACTGTATGCATAAATCGTCATATATATCGACTTACAGTTCTTGGACATGGAGATAGCCATCATTTTGATCATTAAGCAGATTATCCCGGTCCAATTTGATACACATGGTCATCTTTTTCCAGCTATTGAGGTTTTTCCCCGTATCTTTGAGTGCTCGGCGGACAGCTTGCAAAGCATCAACTGTATGCATAGTTCAGGACATACATAATGTTTCAAAGAGATTAAGAATCCAATTAAAGAAAATTACTCCAAGTTTTGAGTTCCCTTAACAAAAATCACAGAGAAACCAACCTTCCAACGGATGAGTAATCGTGCAGAAGCAAGTTGCAGAAGGTGACATGAAAGTAGAACAAGTATGATCCCAATTAGGCAAAATCTCCACCTTGGCATCTATGCAACAAGAAATTTAAACTTTCAGTTAAATTACTTCGAAAATTAAGAGATACTCTAAAATGGCTGTCGAAAAGCAAAACAAACCATACTTTGAAGAAGAAGCATGAAGGTAGATGTAAAAAGAGGATGCAAGCCATTTTTATGCCTGGAAATATGGGTGAGCTCAGAATGGGAGGAGAATTGAGTCAGGAAATTATAATTTAGCTAAACAAAGTAAAGTGATTCGGTAAGTTGGCACTTCCCAGGTTGGGATTATTTTGGATTAATGGAGATTTAAGACTTGAAGAACTATGTCGGAGACGACTTTGTCTTTCAAGTAACTGAGTAAGGCGCCATATTCCAACTTCCTTCAGGATTTTAAAAAGCCCTATAATATTATAAATTGCAACATAAAGAGAAAGACTGCTGGAGAAAATTGCTATTTCATAGTGCATTTTAAAATATGTTGGTGAGGCTTCAAATAATCCATGGAAACATCTCTTTCAAAGTATTGTCATTTTAATGGGTGAAAATGACAGATAACTTGTACCTGTCAATGAAGTGCCTTCTAAGAATTTACATGCAGCTATTTGGATATAAATTGAATACTTTCTTCCATAATTTAGAAAAGTGGGCATATGGTATAAAGGGCTTGAGTATCCTCCTTGGCAAACCGGTTTCTAAGGGAGTTCTATCCAACCACAAAAAGCTCTTACCCGACCCAATTCTACAAAAGGCCCATACCCAACCAATAATATCAATTTGGGAGTGGGCTCCTCCTCCGAGTCTTTCTATTGGTTTCTATGGAAAGTTCATGACAGATGAACAAATAACAATTGGCTCTAATAAAAAAGCATAAATATGTATTATTTACAGCTCATGAAGACGACCTCTGAGCTTATTCTGCAAAAAAAAGATATAATAACAGTAGTAATAGTGATTCTAGATATTAAAGTTCCATAAAGAAAATGGTGGGAATCAGCGAGGCCTGATGGTGGGGACAACACCACTACAAGGTCGCTTCCAGCTTCAGGAAAGTCACCAGACCAGTATGAGTTTCTTTCAGAATAGAGAGATGATGTGGGGATTCCTGAGGATCCTGAGGCTGAGATATCTAAATCTGTCGGGATAGTTCTGATTCTGGAAGCATTGAAGATAGGTTCTCTAATTCTCTACCACTTCCAGCATTGAAGGTCAACGCTCTGTCTCATCCTCACAACACTTGAGAGCATGCCATAAATCTTCTGAGGCATTCGGAAGAGTAGGACCCATGCCGTTGTCTATTACGGAGTACATCATCCAGATTGACATGCTGAATTCACCTGTTGTTGCATTTAAATCATGCCATCTTCTCAGACGTAGCGTTGAGTGAAGGCAATTAGAGAGTGCTGGGAAAAAGTAAAAAAAAAAAAAAAAAAAAAAAAAAAAAAAAAAAATCAGAAGTACCAGCTGGACAATGTTTCTACCATGAGAAATAGGCTTCATCTCGTCAACAACTCGAGAAAAACAATCCGAGGCTGTAAGCATCACTCTTCTCTGTTAACTGGTGTGTGAGTAAGTACGAGGATCAAGGTAAAGCTACAATAGGAAGATAAAGTGGAAGTGATTCACTTTGAAAATTGAAGCATAGGTGTTCAGTGTTCTATCATTTAAAGGACCGATCTGAGAAAGATGACTTGAGAAATCCAAATTTCAAACTAGGTTTCAATAATTTGCTTACTGGGGTGCCTCTCACAACAGTGAACACGTGACCTTCACCTCCTGCATCACTTGGAACTGGTACAAGTTTTGAGATTCCGAAATCAGAAACTTTGCAGTGGAATTTGGAGTCAAATATGTTGTTTGCCTTGATATCTCTGTGGATGATGGGTGGGTCAGCTTCTTTATGGAGGTAGATAATGCTCTGGCTAAACCCAATGCAAAATGCAACCATGGAGAAACTCAATGGATTTCGGAATCTACTGTCATAACAACAACAATATCAAATTCACAGCAGATATAGTTGCAAGAGGTAGAACAAACTAAGTTTTGCAATGGTAAACTGGGGAAAAAATCTTAGGATATATGAGGTCATGAACAGAACCATTAGGCATAAACTCATACATAACATCTGCAAACATAAAAATACAGGATACATTTGAGTATTTGCAGTAAATGAAGCTACTACACTATTGAGTGTATCTTATTTTACTTGAGCAATTTATCTTGTTCTAAAACTCAAGGCATGTTATGAGGAGAGTATCAAAAATTTTCTATAAAGTATCACTCGACTTAAAAGCTTGTAATTTGATGCTTACAGAAGCTTTAAAGTAATCAGATTGCCTATCTCCTTGGTATGCTGACGGTTAAATTGTTCCACATAAAATTCTGGACAAATGAAGTTAAAAAGCTAACTAAATTGATTAACAAATGGATGAAGGTTCATGGCAGAACAAGATACATCAAGAGATACACGAATGACGACTCACAACACGGTCATATGAGAAAACAACCCAAGTGCGGAGCTAGTTTCCCAGAAAGTTTCATGTTAGCAACCGCCTGTATTGCGAGAGAACCAAGAAAAAAAAAAAAAAAAAAAAAAAAAAACCAGAAAATGTATTAGTCCAAACAATCCATCAATGTGTTCAATTTATAAATGTACAATCTACTGTAGCATAAATCGTCATATTTATCAACTTACAGTTCTTGGACGGGGAGATAGCCCTCTTGGATCCATTAAGCAGATTACTCCGGTCCAAGATGAGCACAGGATCAGTCTTTTTCCAGCTATTGAGATTTTTCCTGTATCTTTGAGTGCTCGGCGGACAGCTTGCAAAGCATTACTGTATTCATAGTTCAGCACATACATAATTTTTCAAAGAGATTAGAATCCAATAAAAGAAAATTAACTCCAGTTTGGGTTTCCCTTAACAAAAATCACAGAGAAACCAACCTTCCAATGGATGAGTATCTGTGCAGAAGCAAGTTGCAGAAAGTGCCATGAAAGTAGAACAGTATGATCCAATAGGCAAACTCTCCACCTTGGCATCTATACAACAAGAAATTTAACACTTTCAGTTAAACTACTTCGAAAATTAAGAGATACGCTAAAATGGCTAGTCGAAAAGCAAAAACAACCATACCTTTGCAGAAGAAGCATTAAGGTTGACGTAAAAAGAGGATGAAAGCCATTTTTATGCCTGGAAAATATGGGTGAGCTCAGAAGGAGAAGATTGAGTCAGGAAATTATAATTTTAGCTAAACAAAGTAAATGGATTCGGTAAATTGGCACTTCCCAGGTTGGGATTGGATTAATGGAGATTAAGACTTGAAGAACTAGGTCGGGGACGAATTTGTCTTTCAAGTAACTGAGGAACTGCATATCTACTTCCTTACAGGATTTTAGAAAGCCCTGTATGGTGCGTTTGGTTTATTATTTTGGATAGGATTTTAGAGATATATTAGATAATTGAATATGGGAGTATTACGAGATAAAATTTATAAATTTATAAAATAAACCCCTAAGTTTGCTAATTTAATAATACCCCAACATATAAAATGACAAAAATACCTCCACCACCTGCAGTGCCAGATTCCAGCCACCACCGTCGGAATCTGGCCGAAAAATCATGTTAAGACACAGACCGGTCGGATCTGTGTCGTAACGCATTGTATGGCCTTTTCGACCAGATCCACCACGAATCTGACTAAAAAAGGCTAGATCTAAGGCCTGCCGTGCCTGTGACGGCCGAAAAAGGCCAAAATGACAATCATCTTTGGTCGTCGCTCACGGCCAATCTGGCCTTTTCTGGCTAGATCCGTGGTGGATCTGGCCAGAAAAGGCCAAATCGGTGAAATTCTGGCCATTTATGGTCGTCAGGTAGGCCGTTGTACAGATTCCGGCTACCACTAACAGTGGTTGTCGGAATCTGGCAAGTATGGGTCGCGGGAGTGTTTTTGTAATTTTTAGACTTTTTTTTTCAGGGTGTATTTGTGAAATTAATAACTTTATGGGGTCTAAAAGTAATTAAAAAAATGGGTAAATTTCTTGAATAATGTGCCAAATATTATTTGGAGAATAGGATGGGAATAGGGATAAAAATAATAAGCCAAACATGGCCATAATTATCATAAACCGTAAATAAGAGAGAGAGAGAGGTGGAACAAATAGGTCGGGTTAGGGGTCAACCCTATGTCAACCCGCATCAAGATGGGTTCAACTCGACCCGTGTATACCCTGTCAGGCGGGGCGGGTCTTTGTAGACCAGCCCGACGGCCCGAGGGTTATATATTTAAAAAAAAAAAAAAAAACCATCTAATCTGTCGGGTTGGCAACGCAACTCGGGGGGTTGGACAAAAAAAATTAATTTTTTTTCAATACCCTTTACCCTTAAATGTAGTCATTTTATAGCAGTTGGAGAGGCCTTTTGGTCATTTTCTTTCCCTTTTTTTTTTTTTTTAATAAATAGATCCTAAACTCATATCTTCTCACATCCCAAATTCTCTTATTTTCTCTATTGAAATCTCTCAATTATTCTCTTTATTGTTAATTTGCTCATTTAATTTTATTAGTTTTACAATTTTCAATTCATATTTCCAAATTCTAATTCTCCTTCTTTAATTTTTATTTCTTCTATACCATTTTTTTTTTTAACTATAATAGATAGATATTTCATCCCATCAATTTCGATGATGAAGGAAATTATCCTAGTCCCCTTGATTTACTAACGTAAATGCAGTAGATTTAAAAGTCGCTTTCCTATTCTCAGAATCCGATACAACCTCATAATATTCCCTCCCTTCCTCCCCATGCTATTACAGCTCCTAGTGCTTCTAGAATGTCATTGTAATCGTCGTTCTCATCCAATTCCATCTCAAGCAAAAGCGGGTTCATCAATTATAGTCGAAACCGACTATAGTCACACATCAGACGTTTGGGTGCATTCGATAAGTTTTACCAGACAAAAAATGGAGTTCATGCACATGAAGACAATAAAAGCAAGTATTGGGAAATATTTATAAAGCTGATGCAGGTAAGATACTAGTACTTTAAAAAGACATGCTAATAAACATATTACTCAACATGGAGATACAGAAACCAATCAAACTCAAATAACTAACATGGGTACTACTGACGTTATAATTCTGATGTATATAGGAAATGATAGCTTATTATATTGCTGCAAAGGTCAACCTATTAATATGCTGAAGATAAATATTTTGAAAGATTTATAAAAATTCATTTTTTCCAAGATTTAAAAGTTATTCTAAAACTGCAACTAGAAATGATTTAATAAAATTGTTTGGGAAAATGAAATTAGAATTAAAAAATAAAATACATGGTTGTCAGTTATGTGACTCTAACCGTCGATATTGGAGTAGGTAGAGCTAAACAAGATGATATTTGTGTGACTAGTCATTATTTTGATAACGAATGTAAATTAAATAAATTTTTAATTAAGACTTCGACTCCTGGAGTGCACTTAATAGACCGAAGAGGACTCGAACCCAAAGCACAGCCTCCTCTTCAGAAGCATCAACAAGAATGTACTGCCCTCCATGCAGTTACAGGGTAATGAGCTTCACCAATATTTGGTAACCCTCGACGTGCTACCTGCAGATCCACAACCAAGAGCCAACTTTGATGTCTTAGAATATTGGAAAACCAGAAAATGTATTTGTTTGATATTGTTAAGACTTGCCTTGGATATTTTCTCTGTTCCTGTCTCAACCATCTCATCCGAACAAACATTTAGTGCAAATGGAAGAATTTTAAATGAAAGGAGGACTAAACTTTCACAAAAAATGATTGAAGTCCTCATATGTCTTCAAGATTGGGAACGATCGCGCCATCAGGATCAATACAAGATTGTCAACGATACTTTAATAGAATCATTTCAATTTTGTAATATAGATGATACGGATGAAGGAGGTCCTAGTCAACCCCCAAATTAGTTGTTTTGTAGATTATAACTTTGTAACTTGTAAATTAATTGTCAATTATTGCACTCTTTTTTCCTTACCAAGTTTTTGTCCCAATTGAGTTTTTCTTGGTAAAGTTTTTAATGAGGCAATAATTGTTATATTTTTTTATTTCTTATTTTATTTTTTTATAAATTAATAAATCTAATTTTTCTTGTATTACAATTTAATTGTATTAAAATTTGAAATGTTAACAAAAAAAAAAAAAAATTAATTTAATTATTGATATTTGAAAAGTTAGCTAAAAATAATTACACAAAAGAAAAAAAATTTAAAATTTAAAATTCAAAAAAAACTTTGGGCCAGCCTGCCCAATCTGCACCGAAACCCGCCGGGCTAGGGTTGGCTAGCTAGGCTAGGCCAACCCTTCTAGCCAAGGCAGGCTGGGTTTTGGATAACCTACCGTTGGTCGGACGGGTTATTTTTCCACCTTTAAGAAAGACTATTGAAGAAAATTACTATTTCATAGTGCATTTTAAAATATAGTTGATTAAAAGCTTCAAATAATTAAGTGGAAACATCTCTTTCAAAGTATTGTCACCATGGTTATTAGTCTCCTACGATACCCGATATGTATCATACGATATGATTCGATACAAGTCACCAACGATATGTATCAGATAATGTATTATAAACCTTTCAATACGTTAATATATATCCTATGATATGATATGTATCCATTCGTATCCTTAAAAATATCGATATAACTTTATTAATTTAGGCTAAAGGCCCAAAAAAGATTTTGGGTCGGAACCGGGTCATCCAACCCGATTCACTAAAACTTGCTTAAATTTACTCATTTTGCATGGAGAAAGTGAAGAGAAACATGTGTTGCCCATTTTGCATGATAATAATAATACAAGTAGAGATATAGATATTAACACTAATCTTGGAAATGATATGAATGGTTGAGAGAAAATAATATAGATTATTAATTTTGTGATTAATTTTGATTATGTAATATCATAATTTAAAGCCAATAATACCACAAAATTCTTTAATTAATCTTGGGCATAATATTAATTTTTAATTTTTTTAATTATTTTATTCGTTTTTTTGAAAAAGGCGTACTCTACGATATACGATACGTATCCTACGATACGATCTGATACGGATTGTCAACGATACATATAAGAGAGTATATCCTAAACCTTGGTTATTAGTATTCTATGATACGCGATACGTATCCTACGATACGATTCGATATGGGTCGCTAACGATACTTATCAGAGAGTATATCCTAAACCTTTTGATACGTTGATATGTATTCTACGATACGATACGTGTTCATATCCTTAAAAATATCGATACAATTTTATTAATTTAGGCCAAAGGTCCAAAAAGAATTTTAGATTGAATCTGAGTCATCCAACCTGGTTTACTAAAACTTGCTTAAATTTATCTATTTTGCATTGAGAAAGTTAAAAGAAAGATACGTTACCAATTTTTCATTATAATAATAACACAAGTGCCTTCCACGAATTCATATGCAGCTATTTGGATATAAATTGATTATTTTCTTTCATAATTTATGCATATCCATCAATTATGCAAGTACCCAGTTGGCCAGTTCTTAAAAACTCTCGTTCTTGGTGCACATAAAGTCAAGTCTACAGATTTGATAGCCACTCAAATGGTGGCCATTTATGGTGTCACCTTTCTGAAAACTGTTGCTGTAAAATACTTGGTCAAGTTAGTGCCCTTCCATGAATAAATGATTTCATCCATTTACATGATTACATTAGATTGTTAAACCGACAGAAAAATATATGAAAAAAGACAACCACTGTGTTATTTAATTCTCTGCCTAAACTCGTCAGCTGTTTGACAACCTGGAAGATACTTAATGCAAATTATAATATCATCTCCTTTCAGGCGTTCAGATGTCCCCTGGAGTTATATTCGGGGACCCATTATTCGATTGGTGACTCTCAGGATAGTTTATAGAATAATCAAATATTCAAACTTAAATCGCTTTGGGTTGTTTGGTAGAATATTTAAAATATAATATTCAGAAAAACGATTTTAAGTTGAGATAAATTGGATTAAATAGAATAGGATAGGATAGGATTCTATTATATCTTAGGTTTAAAATCTAATCTCACAACTTTCTCTCACAACTTCTAATGTGGTAACTCGTCATTAGTCAAATTACAAAATGAGTCCTGCCAGCCTATTTGCGAGCAAACCAAACCAATGATGAACTGTCATGTCGGAGGTTGTGAGAGAAAGTTGTGGACCTATTATTATTGATTCTGAAAAACTATTTTATGTTGAGTTGAGTTGGATTAAATAGAATAGGATAAGATTCTAAGAATGTGTTTGGTATAATATTTGAAAATTATATCAAAGTTAGATAAAATGCTGGATAGTTGTTTGATACATTGTTTGAAAACATTTTTTTGAAAATATTTAGAGTATTTTTTAACCCCTTACATTTGTCAATTTAACTAAACACCTCCACAATAAAACTTTAAAAATTAACAAAAACACCCCCCAAAAATGGAGCCATCAATGGCCAAATCACTGGTCATGGATCTGGTCAGAAACGACAAGATTGACCAGATCCGGTCGATCGTGTGCCATTCGCGTGCCGACGGTTGACAATGGTTGCTGGCTGGGGTGCTTTAGTTAATTTTTAAACTTTTATTGTAGGGGATGTTTAGTTAAATTTACAAATATAAGGGGTTAAAATGATCTAAATTTTTTGAGTTGAATAGAATAAGATAATAGAAACAAGTCCCCCCTTTTTTCATTGTTAATAGAAAAAGTCTTATTTGATTGGATTAATTTTTAGAATAATGATCCCAGTAAGTAAAGAAACACATCTTGTTTTTAAATTTAAATAGGATAACATAAAAATGATTCAAAAAAGTGAAACAAACAGGGACTTGGTATTTGGGATTTGAAATATACTATTCTTGATAGATACAGGAGGATTTGTTGTTGAGTTCGGAACTAAATTCAACTAGAATTAAAGAAAGCAAATATGCATATCCTATAGCAATTTTCTAGTTATAATAAAGATTTTTTTTTTTTAATATCACCGGGGGTGACCGAGCTAGCTTACGCATACTTTAATTAATCCACCAGGACCTTGGAATTGCTGGCCAGGTAAAAGCTCCAGTAGTCACCTCTATTAGTGCCTAGGAAGACTTAAACTTAAGAGCTCATGAGACCTCTTTTTACTCTTTTATCATCAGGCGACCCAGTGGTGGTTCATAACAAAGAATGTTCGCTATGAATCCCACGGTAAATTTGCTGTTACTAAAGCGAATTTCTAAATAAGTATTTTTTAAATTTGTATTACATTAGCAAAGTAGTTGGGATGCCCTAAACACTACTAAGGGTAATAAATTTTAGAGGGTTTCATAATGAAATTTTGCACCGGTAAAAGTAGATATACCTCTCATATAGAGAATCAAACAATATAAACCCTTATGTATACGGTTTGATTTATCCTACCCTTTGTTTGCTCAATTTTATCGATTTTGTAGGGATTAAGGCTAGTGGTTAGAATAATAAATCCCATCATTTACTTAATCACATAGTTTAGATTATGTTAGGATCCCACATTAGAAAGGAAAAAGGTGGGCATGAGGGTTATAAAGAAATTGGACACCCTCCCTTGACAAGCCAGTTTTTCAAGTAGAGTTTTAACCAATCCCACAAAAGGTTCACTACTCAGCCCAATTTCTACAAAATGCCCATTGCCCAGCCAATTAATATCAATATGTGAGTGGGTTCTTATCAATTGGTATCATAGCATGATTCTATGTCCACGTGGACATCGCCTACATGGCAGGTTGACTTTCGGGCTAGGATGCTACCTCGAGAAAGGGCATGGAGGCCCGAGGGAAAGGGGATCTGCGTAGTCACCCAAGGGGTAAAGAGGCCGACGAGAGTAAAGAGGCTGACGTGGACGTCGACTGTGGAAGCATGGTGGTGTATTAGGGTCCCACATTGGAAAGGTGATAGGCTGACCTTGGGCCTGGGCTGCTACCCCGAGAAAGGGCATGGAGGCCCAATAGAAAGGAGATTCGTGTAGTTATACAAAGGGTAAAGAGGTCGACGTTGATGTCAGCTGCAGACGCATAGTGGTGTGTTGGGATCCCACATTGGAAAAGATAAGTGTGGGCGTGTGGGTTATAAAAGACTTGAGCATTCTCCTTTGGCAAACTAGTTTTCTAAGGAGAGTTCTATCCAAACCCACAAAAAGCCTATTGCCCAACCCAATTCCTACAAAAGGCCCATTACCCAGCCAATTAATATCAATTTGGGAGTGGGTACCTACCTCTGAGTCTTCTATTTGTTTCTATGGAAAGTTCTTTACATATGATCAAATATACAAGTGGCTCTAATAAAGCATAAATATGTATTATTTACAGCTCATGAACACGACCTCTCAGCTGTACATTTAGCTATATACAAACTGATACACACATAAATCAGAGTTCACTTTATTTCTGCAAAAAGGAGATATAATAACAGTAGTAATAGTGATTCTAGATATTAAAGTTCCACAAAGAAACTGGTGGGAATCAGCGAGGCCTGATGGTGGGGACAACACCACTAACAAGGTCGCTTCCACCTTCAGGAAAGCCACCAGACACGTATGAGTTTCTTTCGGAATAGAGAGATGATGTGGGGATTCCTGAGGATCCTGAGGCTGAGATGTATGAATCTGTTGGGATAGTTTCTGATTCTGGAAGCATTGAAGATAGGTTCTCTAATTCTCTCACCACTTCCAGCATTGAAGGTCGACGCTCTGTCTCATCCTCATAACACTTGAGGGCTAATGCCATAAATCTTCTGAGGCATTTGGAAGAGTATGGACCCATGCCGTTGTCTATTATAGAGTACATCCCAGATTGACATGCTGAATTCACCTGTTGTTGCATTTAAATCATGCCATCTTCTCAGACTTTAGCGTGTGAACGAAGGCATATTGGAGAGTGTTGGGAAAAAAGTAAAAAAAAAAAAAAAAAAAAAAATCAAAAGTACCTGCTGGACAATGCTTCTACCATGAGAAATAGGCTTCATTCCTGTCAACAACTCGAGAAAAAAAATTCCAAGGCTATAAACATCACTCTTGTCTGTTAACTGGTGAGTGAGTAAGTGTAGAGGATCAAGGTAGCCCTGCAATAGGAAGATAAAGTGGAAGTGATTCACTTTGAAAATTTGAAGCATAGGTGTTCAGTGTTCTACCATTTAAAGGTTCAATCTGAGAAAGATGACTTGAGAAATCCAAATTTCATAACTAGGTTTCAATAATGTACTTACTGGGGTGCCTCTCACAACAGTGAACACATGACCTTCTCCTCCTGAATCACTTGGAACTGGTGCAAGCTTTGAGATTCCGAAAACAGCAACTTTTGCAGTAAATTGGGAGTCCAACAATATGTTGTTTGCCTTGATATCTCTGTGGATGATGGGTGGGTCAGCTTCTTTATGGAGGTAGATAATGCCCTTGGCTGAACCCAATGCAATATGCAATCTCATGGCGAAACTCATAGGATTTCGGAATCTACCTGTCATAACACAAACAATATCAAATTCACATCATGATATAGTTTGCAAGTGGTAGAACAAAACCAAGTTTTGCAATGGTAAACTGGGGAAAAAATCATAGGATTTACCATATAGGAGGTCATGAACAGAACCATTAGGCATAAACTCATATACTAACATCTGCAAACACAAAAATCAAGGATACTTTTGAGTATTAGCAGTTAATGAAGCTCACTACCTACTATTAAGTGTATCTTATTTTACTTGAGCAATTTTATCTTGTTCTAAAATTCAAGGCATGTTATGAGGAGAGTATCAAAAATTTTCTGATAATGCATAATATTTCCAGAAGTGGCAATGGATAAGGTACCTGCTCGCCTCCTTCATCACAATATCCAATCAATGAAACGAGGTTGCGATGATGTAAACGCGACAAAATTTCTATTTCAGTTAAGAATTCTCTCTCACCCTGCAAGGATCCTTGCTGTGCCCTCTTGATTGCCACAGCTGTGCCATTGTCCAAAATGCCTTTATAAACCTTTCCATAGCCTCCTTGACCAACTAGACTGGACTCACTAAAACCACTGGTAGCTTTTTCAAGTTCTGTGAAACTAAATCCCTTGACACTTGCAGCTTTGATTGGAATTTTTGCAACTGTTAAAAGAAACATCATTTATGCTTCTAAATATAAATACAAGAGAAAGTAGCCCTCTAGATCAAGGCAAATACAAAAGAACTTACTTGACTGTTTCTTTGAAACCTCTTGCTTGTGTTTTGATTTCTTTTTGTAGAAAATAAACAACATGACCAAAGATATTGCAATTAGGCCAGCAATGGACCCTAACACAATTCCAGTCACAGCACCTTTGCTCATGCCTGATTTTGATCTTCGAGAATGACTGCAACAAGACCGGTTTGAGAACCCTTGCCACTTAAGTTTAAGAAATGCAACCAAATATGATTAACTATAATTATTGAACTACAAAATTTTGCATACCATGAAAATGAGTAATACTCTTAGGTAGATCATTGATGATAGTGATAAGTAAATAGTAATCCACAAGAATAGGCAGACCAAAAATGGAACTGGAACTACAATTTTAATTGGAAAATTTTGCAGCCTTGAGACTTACCATCTGCATAAGGTCCATGGCGAGTAAAATTGATCAGTTCGTAGGGAAAAAAAACATCACTCAAAGAAAGAGTAAATGTAGCAATTTGGTCCATAATCCGATAGACCTCACTCTTGTTAACTTCATTGGTAGTACTATTGATATACTGAGGAAAAACCTTTAAGGTAATCAATAGCCTACGACCCCTTTGCCATAAAAGTCAATTGATAAGGATTCAAGCCAAGACTGGAGTCACGTCCAGCACAAATGCATTCATGTATGGGGGAAAATCGGACATGCTAGGACTTTTCAAACGTACATCAACTCCAAGGGGCAGAGCACAGAAGCAGGAAGCAGGTGATTCTGGGACATATTCCATATACAAACTTGCCAGACAGGACTGCAGGAGGCATGTAGGATTAGAAGTGTTATTTGAAGTTCCAGAAACCTCATCATCTCTGATATTGGGTCCACAGAATTGAACTATATTGAATTCGTTTGCACTTGTACAAACAGGATTGCCCTGAAGCCTAAGCAGTCCAAAAAATTGCAACTGATAAGTCAAATAAACTTCTTACATGGATTTCTATTTGCAAAGACTACAAATACTCACCTAATGGTGACATTTGAAGGAGGATCTATTGTACCTGAAACATTTGTAAGCGAATTATTCTGGAAATCCCTGCAAGAAAAACATAGAAACAAAGAAGATCTTATGAGAATTCAGGTAACTAGAATTGGAGTATTGATGTTCAACCACTGTTCCTGATGTAGTTAATCTCAAAAGTAAGCAAATAAAAACCGTATAACTTTTTCTTGTCGTACAAGGTAAGTGTCGCATTTGCACGAAAATTAACATTCTGCCAAATATTTGGGGGAACACTGCCAGTCAAATTATTGTTTTCAAGTGACCTGCAATAAATTACAAACTAGCTTTATTAATTATTTCAGATGGAAGATATAAACTGCCATTCTTAAGTACTTCATATGGAAGATAAATTTCTAACCGCATATATCTTTCTAATTATTGAGGAATTCTTAAGATTTTCAATTAAAAAAAAAAAAGTGAGATTAAAAATGAGGAGAGCCTCTTACAGTCTCTGGAGATGAGTAAAGCCTGAAAAATTTGAGGGGATAGGTCCAGTCAGCATATTATTGGATAGATCACTGCAACATTGAAAACAAAACGAGTTACTTTCATTACATCAATGTAAAAGAAATTCATTATAAGCAATAGCAAGAGATATTTATGTATCTATATATATGAAAAAATGTAGCATGTGTAAGGAACTTTGAACATTGACAATGACATACATAGTCGTGATATTGTTGGCAAGCTTATTTGTTGGTATGCTTCCAGTAAGTTGATTTGAGCTAAGATCTCTGTAACATGAAAAGTAATCGAGATCAGATATAAGATGAATCCAACTCTTAAGAAAGTCTTAGTTAATTTGCTAAGAGCTGGTTATGTAAATTCAGCAATTTTTCAAATGACTACTTGGAATTGTGCACAGATGATAATCATATAAATGCTGAATGACAAATATTGTGGAGATAAATTATAATTTTGACTAGCTTTGTTCAACTAAAAGATATAACCATCATTTATTGCAAAGAAATTATAAACAACTTCCTGCAGACTTACAAGTAAAGAAGGTTTGCTTAAATCAGGAATAGTTCCTTGCAATCTGCAGTTCCTAAGACTCCTGTTGAGTTGAAAGGAAAGAAATAAGCACAATGTTATTGATCCTTCAGTTTTTGTGTACCTATTGCCTTCATATGTATATTTTAGCACTTGGCAGTGTATAAATAAAAAATAAAAGAAAAATCCATGGGAAGGGAGAGAGATTACAGCTTCACCAGTTTGGGCATGTTTTTATAAGAATTTGGAATCTCGGTACCTTCAAAGTTGTTGTTATCAAATTGTCTGCAACAATAAGAGAAATGGGGTTATTAGCCAGAGACCAAAAGGTTTGAGATACTGGAGTCTGATAGTCATTACACAAGAGAACTTGAAGGAACGGTGAACTTACAAAATCCTCAGGTTTGGCATCCTGGAAAATTCTTGCGGAAGATACCCTGATAAGTTGTTATTGTCCAACAGGCTGCAAATTAAATTTATCAAAATATTATGTCATTGCAACAACAGAAACATACTCATTGTGTAAAATAAAGCAACATCAATAAAAATGTAATGAACTCACAAGTGTAAGAGTTGAGGTAATTCAGAAAGCTCTGGTGGAATCTGACCACTGATTGAGTTGTTGTTCAAATGACTGCCATTAAAAACAACATGAATAACTGCTTTTTGTAAGGGATTTGGCTAACTAGGAGGCACTTACAAGTGTCTGGCCCTTGTCATATTTGCCAAAGTTTTTGGCAGTGGTCCAGAAATATTGTTACTGTCCAGGTTTAATATTGTTACATTAGAAAGAGAACCAAGCTCATCTGGTATAGGCCCTGATATTTGATTTGCGCTCCGAAGCCTGCATGCAAATGAAAAATACACTTCCATATATAGGTTCGAAATTTTCACGGAGTAGTTAAAAATTAAGTTAAATGATAACTCGGCATCCAACTATAAAGTAATCACTCGACTTAAAAGCTTGTAATTTGATGCTTACAGAAGCTTTAAAGTAATCAGATTGCCTATCTCCTTGGGTATGCTGCCGGTTAAATTGTTCCACATAAAATTCCTGGAAAAATGAAGTTAAAAAGCTAACTAAATTGATTAACAAATGGATGAAGGTTCATGGCAGAACAAGATATCATCAAGATGATACACAGAATGACATGACTCACAATACGGTCATATGAGAAAACAACCCAAGTGCCGGAGCTAGTTTCCCAGAAAGTTTCATGCTTAGCAACCGCCTGTATTGCGAGATAAACCATGAAAAACCAGAAAATGTATTAGTCCGAACAATCCATCAATGTGTTCAATTCATAAATGTGCAATCAACTGTATGCATAAATCGTCATATTTATCAACTTACAGTTCTTGGACATGGAGATAGCCATCATTTGGATCCATTAAGCAGATTTCTCCGGTCCAATTTGATACACATGGATCAGTCTTTTTCCAGCTATTGAGATTTTTCCCTGCATCATTGAGTGCTCGGCGGACAGCTTGCAAAGCATCAACTGTATGCATAGTTCAGGACATACATAATTTTTCAAAGAGAATAAGAATCCAATAAAAGAAAATTGACTCCAAGTTTGGAGTTTCCCTTAACAAAAATCACAGAGAAGCCAACCTTCCAATGGATGAGTAATCTGCGCAGAAGCAAGTTGCAGAAAGTGACATGGAAGTAGACAAGTATGATCCCAATTAGGTAAAATCTCCACCTTGGCATCTATGCAACAAGAAATTTAACACTTTCAGTTAAACTACTTCGAAAATTAAGAGATACGCTAAAATGGCTAGTCGAAAAGCAAAACAAACCATACTTTGCAGAAGAAGCATGAACGTTGACGTAAAAAGAGGATGCAAGCCATTTTTATGCCTGGAAAATATGCGTGAGCTCAGAATGGGAGAAGATTGAGTCAAGAAATTATAATTTTAGCTAAACAAAGTAAATGGATTCGGTAATTTGGCACTTCCCATGTTGGGATTATTTTGGGTTAATGGAGATTAAGACATGAAGAACTAGGTCGGAGGCAATTTAACTCCACTTGGCCATTTAAAAACTCCTGTTCTTGGTGCACATAAAGCTAAGTCTATAGATTTGATAGCCACTCAAATTGTGGCCATTTTTGGTGTCACCTTTCTGAAAACTGTTGCTGTAATATACTGGGTCAAGTTAGTGCCCTTCCATGAATAAATGATTTCATCCTGGTATACCTAAAAAATCAAGGCTGATGTGAGTTTACGTCAGCTAACGCCAATCAGAGTTCAAGAAGGTTTTGTGTCATCCTGGAGTTACCACATTGTTAAAAAGACAGAAGGAGTATAGTTGTCATCAACTTGGCAAACTCAGGCTTTGTCTATGAGTGGATGAGAGTCGCCCAACTGTCCAAGCCTTACGCGATTTGAGGATATCTGCCATGTAATCAGCCTATGGGAAGGGCGGTAGGAATTGTTCTACACCTGTCCACTTGCAGACTTATAATCATTACCCTGAAACCTTCTACTATAAATAGAGGGTTCTCTCTCTCATTTTCGGGATTCAGATAAGAAACCCGCATTTCTGCAAGAAAGAAATTGACTTGATATTCTCTTTGAATAATCAATCACTTGTACTTCTGCTCGCTATTCACTATACGCGATCTCCTATAACCTCATATATATATAAAAGAACAGTGGACGTAGGATTAGCTTTAAGCATCCGAACCACTTTAAAAATCATCTTCCATTTACTTCATTGAATTTTCCATTCATGTGTAATTTCTAAGTCGGCTTAGCACTTTGCACGTGCGAGTCATTAGTGTCAAAATCAAGCATTAACACATCCATTTATAGGATTACATTAGATTGTTAAACCAACAGAAAAATATGTGTTGTTTAATTCTCTGCCTAAACTCGTCAGCTGTTTGACAGCCTGAAAGATACTTGATGCAAATTATAATATCATCTCCTTTCAAGTGTTCAGATGTCCCTTGGACTTATATTCGAGGACCCATTATTAGATTAGTGGCTCTCAGGATAGTTTATAGAATAGTTAATTATTCAAACTGAAATCACTTTGGGCTGTTTGTAGATTATTTAAAATATGATATTCAGAAAAACGATTTTAAATTGAGATGAGTTGGATTAAATAGAATATGATAGGATTCTATTCTATCTTAGTTTCACAACCTACTCTCACAACTCTTGATGTGGTAGCTTGTCATTGGTCAGCTCATAAAATGAGTTCTGCCAACCCATTTGCGAGCAAACAAATGATGAATTGTCATGTTGAAGGTTGTGAGAGAAAGTTATGGACCTATTATTATTGATTTTGAAAAACTATTTTAAGTTGAGTTGAGTTTGATTAAATAGAATATGATAAGATTCTAAGAATGTGTTTGGTATAATATTTGAAAATTATATCAGTGTTAGATAAAATGCTGAATAGTTGTTTAATACATTTTTGGAAAATATTTTCTGAAAATATTTAGATTGTTTTTTAACCCCATACGTTTGTTAATTTAACTAAACACCCCCAAAAAAAACTTTAAAAATTAACAAAACACCCCCCAAAAATGGAGACATCAATGGCCAGATCTCTGGTCATAGATCTAGTTGGAAATGGCAAGATTGACCAGATTCAACTTGTTGTGCGTCGTTCCCACGCTGACGGTTGACGGTGGTTGCTGGCTAAGGTGCTTTAATTAATTTTTAAACTTTTATTGTGGGGGATGTTTAGTTAAATTAACAAATATAGGGGGTTCAAATTATCTAAATTTTTGAGTTGAATAGAATAAGATCATAGAAACAAGTCCCCCCCTCTTTTCATTTTCAATAGAAAAATTCTTATTTGATTGGATTAATTTTCAGAATAATGATCCCAATAAGTAAACAAACATAGCCTAATGTATGCTCTGGTTTGTACTAGACCTGACATTACTTTTGCAATTAGCATGTTAGGAAGATATCAAAGTAATCCAGGTTTAGATCATTGGGGAGCTGCAAAGAAGGTCATGAGATATCTTTAAAGAACTAAAGGTTTCATGCTTACTTATAGATGGCCTGACGTTTTAGAAGTCATCGGATATTCAGACTCAGACTTCGCTGGCTATGTTGATTCTCTGAAATCAACATCCGGATATGTTTTTATGCTAGCTGGAGGTGCTATATCTTGGAGAAGTACCAAACAATCTTTGGTTGCCACTTTTGCTATGGAAGCTGAGTTTGTTTCCTGTTTTAAGGCTACTACATAGGGTATTTGGTTGAGATGTTTCATTTCTAGGCTTAGAGTTGTTGAGTCTATCTCTAGGCTAATAAGTTTATATTGTGACAATTCAGCTGCTGTGTTCTTTGCTAAGAATAATAAGAGTAGAAGTCGAAGTAAACACATCGACATTAAATACTTAGCAATAGGGGAGCACATTAAAGCCAAAGAAGTGCTCATTGACCACATACACATCAAGTAGATGATTGCTGATCCTTTGACAAAAAGCATGCCCCCAAAGACGTTCAAATATCATGTAATACAAATGGGACTACGTCCTACTTTGTCATTATGAGAGGTAATACTTTCATTCTATGAAACTTTGTAATTTAGTTTGTTTTCTCTTTTAAGTTGTATACATTTTAGTTGGAGACAAATAAACATTCTGGATGACCTAGAACAAACATTTGAGGTTTGTTCATAAAGTAATATTTCATATTTAAGCATTTATTTAGAAGAAGAAAATTGCATAGTACTACATGGAAGGTAGTACTTGTTTAAAAAGGACTTACCGCTATGATTCATGCAATTCTATTTTTCTAATTAAACATAAAGAACATAAAACTACTAGGTTGTGAATTGTATAATAAAAGTTTGGACCAAGTGGGAGAATGTTAGAATTTTAATTAATTAAAATTCATTGCCCTAAAATTACTATTTGGTCCTTCACTTTTATATATATTATTTTATATAAAAATTTAAACTACTGAGTAGTTTTCAGCAGTTATCCCTAACAGTTATCTTTGATGGAAAGACTTACGTAAAGGTGGAAAAAATGGGTCGGGTTAGGCGGGCCAACCCTAACTCAGCCCGTAAAAAAGAGGGCTCAAACTGAGCCCAACCCGCCAGCAACCCCCGGGCGGGCCCGGTTACACAAGGGTAACCCGGTGGCCCGCGGGTTGCTAATTTGTCCTCTTTGCAAGAGGCCCGCAACCCGGCGGGTTGCTGGCGGGTTGGCCCAAAAAAAAAAAAAAATAANACATGCTTTTCCAAGTGATTTGTCGTTATTCGGTCACGTTCGAAAAACAGTTCACCAACCGTTAATCCATACCAATGCCCCAGTGACATGACTATCATCGTCATCCGTACTTATATCAACTCATGATATCTTTCGGAAGCATCCGGTATGCCTACTGTGCAATATAGTTGCCCAAATTTATATTGCTTCCGTAAGGAACCCTTTTCGATAATTCATTTACCTATTAAATGAATCATCTGGACAATTCATATACATACTTTATTTTAAATGCATGACTGAATAAAGGAAGCAATTTACATATATGAATTGAAGAACTCTTTCTTCTATTATTTATGATATATATAGATACAAGACAAAATGCTCTGAAACCGACAACACGAATGGTTTCTAGGGCATACACTAATATACACTAACAATATAGGGGGTTAAAATGATCTAAATGTTTTGAGTTGAATAGAATAGGATAATAGAAACAAGTCCCCCCCCTTTTTTTCATTTTCAATAGAAAAAATCTTATTTGATTGGATTAATTTTCATAATAATGATCCCAATAAGTAAAGAAACACATTCTGTTTTTAAATTCAAATAGGATAATAGAAAAATGATTCAAAAGAGTAAAACAAACAGGGCTTGATATTTGGGATTTGAAATATACTATTCTTGATAGATATAGGAGGATTTCTTGTTGAGTTCGAACTAAATTCTACTAGAATTAAAGAAAGGAAATATGCATATCCTATTCGAGCCAACTTACGCACACCTTAATTAATCCCCGAGATCTTGGAATTGCCGGTCGGATAAGAGCCCCAGTGTAATACCCCATACGTTTTTTGTATAGAGTTTTATTAAACCTTTTTTTTTTATTTTGGGGGTAAAGTGTAAGAAATTGAAAATTTTGAGCAGTATAGTGTAATAGCTGAAATAAGTGGGGACTAAATTGAAAATTTTCAGATATTTGATGAACAGTGACCATTCAATGAAAAGAAAAATAAAGAAGAAGAAGAAGAAAAAAAAGAGAGGAAAAGAAGGGAGGAAAAGGAGAGAAAGAAAAGAGAGAAAAGGGAGCATGAAGAAGAAGAGAAGGAGAGGAAGAAGAAAAGAAAGACAAGAAAGAAGGGAGAGAAAGATTAAACCAATAATAGAGAGAGAGGAGAGAAGAGAACGACGGAGGTGGCTGGAAAAGTGGCCGTCGGCGAGCAAATTCCAGGGATCGCAAGAGCAAAGGGAGATTGAGCAAATGGGAGGTGAGTAAAGCATGATGTTTCCCTTTTGGTGATTTATGATTCAATGGGTTTAAAGAACTCTCTTTGGATTGCTTTGTCTATGATTTGGTATAAATTCACAAATACAAAACTAAAATAGGAAGATTGATTTCAATAATTTTGTGTGGGTAGAACATATACATGTTGTTCCTAAACAAAAATGGGTTAAAGATATGATTTTTGATAAAAGGGTTTATTGTGCAAAATCTCTCCATCTGGGATTCCGAAAATTGTTTACATGTTTTGGGTTTTTTATCATAGCTGAATTTTTAATATCTTGTTGTAGGCTTCTTGAGGAGTGTTTAGAAATTTATTTCACTCAAAAACTCGAAGGATTGAATTTTATATGGATTTTTGAAGTTGCCTTGTGAATTCTGGAATTTTCATTTTCTGCAGAACATGTATTTTTGGAAAATGATTTGATGTATCTATTCTTAACCAAATTGAGATATTTTTAATTCTAGTGAATCCTATATTTGTTTAGTTTAATATTGAAGAGTTTCGTGAAGTTTCGAATAAAGGTTAAATTGTTACAAATTTTCCAAGCGAGTAACCTCAATTCTGGAAACAGGGGGGCTGATTTGAATGAGTTGAAAGAAAATTGTGTTTTAAATAGTTATTGATTCTGGAATGACTTGAAAAAACTATGAGAACAACTTATGTGTCTCTAGAATGCCCCATTAAAATATGGGTTAAATTGATGAATGAAATTTTTATGAAAAATCTAAGAGCGACCGATGTTCGGTTATGAGACAATTTTGTTAAAGAAGAAGTTATGTTAATCTTTTGGTGTGTGAAGTGTCCAATGATTTTAATATTGAAGTGTTACCTTATGGGGACTTATGTATGGAGGATTTATTAGATTTTGTATATAGGGAGGCCTGCCCTAGGAACCAATCGTATCGTCAGTTTCAAGACATTATGTTTTGTATATATATATGTTAATGTATATATTTTGTATATACATTTTATGTTATCAATAGAAGAAAGTATTCTTATTTCACACGTGGTTTATTATTTCATTTATATACAAATCTTTAGAAGATCAAAATCATCAAAGTATTCCCTACATAGGTAATATTAATTGGGCAATAATATTACATAGTAAGTATGTTGAATGCCTCCGTAGAATATATATCATGTGATGGTATTAGTGTGGGTGATTATAAAAATTATATCACTAGGACATTAGCATAGATAAGCGGTTAGTGAACTGTTTATTGAATATGGTCATTTATGATGAATCACGTGGACATTCAATGATTTATCATAAGATAGTACTAGTATATTATTAATCCTTAGACCTGAGATATCACAGTTGGATTCTGCATAAACGCATATGGTTCATATGGTGTATAAGCACGAGGCTAATCATGTCATGTGTTAATAAGCCGATTTGGCCATGTGTTGTTTATGTGTGAGGACAAGTGTTAGTCAAGATGGGATCCATTGACTTGGTATAAATTGATATCAAGTTCCTAGACAAATGTCAAGATACATTAGAAAAGGGAAATCTCTGGCTGGGATATATAAAATGTTACTTGAAAGGTTGTTTCATGGTAACACGTTCCATATGTATTGATTGTCAATTTGATATAAAATTAAGATAAGGATTTTGACATAACATAAAGCCATTCTTAATTGGGATTAGACAAAGGAAAGATTTGATTATACAGCTCGTATGGTTATAAAAGGGTTCGTTGGAGTATATCTTCATTGTAACTTAGGGGTTATGGAGTATTGCTAGATGCCTACTGTAATCGGTGAGAGTTTTGTTTATAAAGATTTATGAAAAAACGTATTGAAATAGACTATAATATTGGACCCATGGCTAGGCCACAGTGAACCTAAGAGGTTACACATAAAAACTAAGGAGAATAGAGAAATAGCAAAATGATTATCCAAGGTTGGTTAGCACCTACCAAGGGTAATAAAGTTATTTATATTATTATTATTGAATTAGATTCAATGGAGGGTTATATTAGTTATTATGAATAATTTAAGAGTTAAATTGCTTATTGGAATTAAATTGAATTCTAATTCATAATTAATCATTTTCTTTATATTAAATTGGATTTAATAATGGGTTGTAATTGTAAACATATGAACAATTTAAGGGTTAAATTATTATGTAAACAATTTAAGAGTTAAATTGTTAATTGGGATTAAATGTTAATCCAATGTTATTATTTAAAGAAGTTTAACAACTTCATAATAATTGTGAAATTATTTACAACTCCAAAAACAATTATGGAATTGTTTAAGGAAGTCCAAAACAATTATTGAATTGTTTACAAGGCTACATATATAAAGAAAATGATAAATCAATTTTAGGGTAAAGACCAAAATTTCTAATAACCTTAAATGTCTCTCTTGGCCTAATTCTTCTTTTACCTTAGTGTGGATACTCTTTTGTTTAATTTCTTTTGAAATTAAAAGTCTCCTAGGTTGCTAAGGACTTGAGGTAACAAGTTATACCTTGTTTGCAATTTGATTGAATTTTTTTTTGCAAAATATGAATATACGTGTTATAGTATCACATGCGTCATTCTACATGTATTCCATCTTTTAGCGGGGGCATTGTTAGAAGATTTCAATCATTTTTCGACTTGAGGGTTGAGCTCCAAACTGTGAGTGGAAAAATCTAAAACTCGAACTTTCATTTTAACAAAGTTTTCTCTAAATGCTTATTTATAATTGTTTATTGTTTTAAATTGCCTAATATGTTTTATTTCTTTATATAAATGAGCTTTATTGCAATTTTATTGTTGGATTTTATTGATTGACATGAGAAAGATGGAATTTTGATACTTTTGGGCAATAGTTTGAAAAGAAATGAAAATGGGTTGAAATTGTTAGATTTGAAAACATTTGATAACTTGCATTTATATTTTTAAGTTATGAAATTATTATATAGTCATGAGAAAAAAATGTTTTGAGAATAAGTATGAGATGTTAATGGTTTTCAAACCACCCGATGTAGTACCCATCCCCCTCATGATATTGATTTGATTCTATGCATGCCTATGATTGATCATTTGTTAGCCCAAGTGGGTTGAAGGCCCGGGCGAGGCAGATATCATTGCACAAGATTTGATATTACCAGCCCAAGTGGGTTGAAGGCCTGAGCGAGGCAGATATCGCCACACATGATTTGGTTTGCTGACCCAAGTGGGTCAAAGGCCTGAGCGAGGCAGATATCGCTACATAGAATATGATTTTGCTGGCCCGAGTGATGCTTGGACTCACTAGGTCGAAGGCTTGAGCGGTGACTAATTCTGCCTAGCAGGATGAATTTAGTGGTTCAACCCGTGTGCTGTTAGATCTTGCCGGGTTTGACGGATTTACCCTGGGTACTAGTTGGGTGAGAGTTTTCACATGTGATTGAGAGATGGTTTGGATATATATNTCACGGAGTAGTTAAAAATTAAGTTAAATGATAACTCGGCATCAAACTATAAAGTTATCACTCGACTTAAAAGCTTGTAATTTGATGCTTACAGAAGCTTTAAAGTAATCAGATTGCCTATCTCCTTGGGTATGCTGCCGGTTAAATTGTTCCACATAAAATTCCTGGACAAATGAAGTTAAAAAGCTAACTAAATTGATTAACAAATGGATGAAGGTTCATGGCAGAACAAGATATCATCAAGATGAGACGCAGAATGACATGACTCACAATACGGTCATATGAGAAAACAACCCAAGTGACGGAGCTAGTTTCCCAGAAAGTTTCATGTTTAGCAACCGCCTGTATTGCGAGAGAAACCAAGAAAAAAAAGAAAAACCAGAAAATGTATTAGTCCAAACAATCCATCAGTGTGTTCAATTTATAAATGTGAAATCTACTGTATGCATAAATCGTCATATTTATCAACTTACAGTTCTTGGACATGGAGATGGCCATCATTTGGATCCATTAAGCAGATTACTCCGGTCCAATTTGATACACATGGATCAGTCTTTTTCCAGCTATTGAGATTTTTCCCTGTATCTTTGAGTGCTCGGCGGACAGCTTGCAAAGCATTAACTGTATTCATAGTTCAGCACATACATAATTTTTCAAAGAGATTAAGAATCCAATAAAAGAAAATTAACTCCATGTTTTGAGTTTCCCTTAACAAAAATCACAGAGAAACCAACCTTCCAATGGATGAGTAATCTGTGCAGAAGCAAGTTGCAGAAAGTGACATGGAAGTAGAACAAGTATGATCCCAATTAGGGAAAATCTCCACCTTGGCATCTATGCAACAAGAAATTTTACACTTTCAGTTAAACTACATCGAAAATTAAGAGATACGCTAAAATGGCTAGTCGAAAAGCAGAACAAACCATACTTTGCAGAAGAAGCATGAAGGTTGACGTAAAGAGAGGATGAAAGCCATTTTATGCATGGAATATATGGGTGAGCTCAGATTGGGAGAAGATTGAGTCAGGAAATTATAATTTTTGCTAAACAAAGTAAATGGATTCGGTGAGTTGGCACTTCCCAGGTTGGGATTATTTTGGAGTAATGGAGATTAAGACTTTAGGATCTAGGTCGGAGACGACATTGTCTTTCAAGTAACTAAGGCGCCATATTCCAACTTCCTTACAGGATTTTAAAAAGCCCTATAATTATTATAAATTGTACATAAAGAGAAAGATTGCTGGAGAAAATTACTATTTCATAGTGCATTTTAAAATGTAGTTGATTTAAAGCTTCAAATAATTCAGTGGAAACATCTCTTTCAAAGTGTTTTCATTTTAATGGGTGAAAATGACAGATAACAAGAACCTGTCAATGAAGGGCCTTCTACAAATTCATGTGCAGCTATTTGGATATAAATTGACAATTTTCTTTCAGAATTTATGCATATCCATTAATTATACAACTACCCAGTTGGCCAGTCCTTAAAAACTCCTGTTCTTGGTGCACATAAAGCCAAGTCTACAGATTTGATAGCCACTCAAATTGTGGCCATTTATGGTGTCACCTTTCTGAAAACTGTTGCTGTAATATACTTGGTCAAGTTAGTGCCCTTTCATGAATAAATGATTTCATCTTGTTATGCCTAAAAAATCAGGGTTAACATGAGCTTACGTCAGCTAACACCAATAAGAGTTTAGGAAGGTTTTATATCATCCTGGAGCTACCACATTGTCAAAAAGATAGAAGGAGTACAGTTGTCATCAACTTGACAGACTTGAGCTTTATCTACGAGTGGATGGGAGTAGCCCACCTGTCCAAGCCTTGTGCGATTTGAAGATATTTGCCATGTAATCAACCAATGGGAAGGGCGGTAGGAATTGTACTACACCTGCCTACTTGTAGACTTGTAATCATTACCCTGAAACCTTCTACTATAAATACAGGACTCCCCCTCTTATTTTCGAGATTCTGATAAGAAACCCACATTTTGATTGTAACATTTTTATTCTAAAAACACTCATAATATGCGAGAAATAAACTAACTTGATATTCTCTCTGAATAATCAATCACTTGTACCTTTACTCGCTATTCAATATACGCGACCTCCTGTAATCTCATATATATAAAAGAACAATGGACGTAGGATTCACTTTAAGCATCCAAACCACTTTAAAAATCATCTTTCATTTACTTCATTGTATTTTTCATTCACGTGTAATTTTTAAACCAGTTTAACACTTTGCACGTACGAATTATTAGTGTCAAAATCAAGCATTAACATATCCATTTATAGGATTACATTAGCTTGTTAAACCGACATAAAAATCTGAGTTATTTAATTCTCTGCCTAAACTCGTCAGTTGTTTCATAGCCTGGAAGATACTTAATGCAAATTATAATATCATGTCCTTTCAAGTGTTCAGATGTCCCCTGGACTTATATTTGGGGACCCATTATTAGATTAGTGGCTCTCAAGATAGTTTATAGAATAGTTAAATATTCAAACTTAAATCACTTTGGGTTATTTGGTAGATTATTTAAAATATGATATTCAGAAAAAAGATTTTAAGTTGAGATGAGTTGGATTAGATAGAATATGATAGGATTCTATTCTATCTTAGGTTCACAACTTACTCTCATAACTCTTGATGTAACAGCTTGTCATTGGTCAGCTCACAAAATGAGTCCTATCAATCCATTTGCGAGCAAACAAATGATGAACTGTCATGTCACAGGTAGACCTATTATTATTGATTCTGAAAAACTATTTTAAGTTGAGTTGAGTTAGATTAAATAGAATAGGATAAAATTCTAAGAATATGTTTGGTATAATATTTAAAAATTATATCAGAGTTAGATAAAATGTTGAATAGTTGTTTAATAAATTTTTGGAAAACATTTTCTGAAAATATCTAGATTATTTATTTTTTAACTCCCTATATTTGTTAATTTAACTAAACACCCCCACAATAAAACTTTAAAAATTAACAAAACACCCCCCAAAAATGGAGACATCAATGGCCAAATCTCTGGTCATAGATCTGGTTGGAAATGGCAAGATTGACTAGATCCAACTNGTGAAATGTTTTTAGAAATGATATGTTGAAACATGAGTATTGATTTGTTTACCATAATAGTTTTCAGAAAGAAGTTTTGCAATGAGAGACTTCAGCATTTGTTATGAAAGATGGCTTATATTATAAAATGTGTTTATGGAAATGAAATTTTATAAGCATGAATGTTTTTATTATATATTGAAATGTTTTATTACATACTAACCCATTCCCCACTCACTGAGCATTTCTAGCTCACCCCTCATTTTCAAATGTTTTTCTTCCCCTCCCCTCCCCCCCCAGAGGTCAAGAAGGAGATCGTGCAGAGGAGTGAATCCCACTCAAGGTTGGGCCCACACGACTTTATTTCATCATATGTTCCATAGTTGTGTTTCATTTTCTACTGCAAAGTTTATGTTTCTTCATCATGTATTTATTTCATGTTTTGGATTGTAAAAGACATGGAAAAATCTGATACCATACGTTTATTTTGTAAAAGAAAATTCAGTTGCATTTATTTATTTGCAAATGATGTTATATTTATTTGTGAGAACAAAAATGAGTGTTTATAAATATTTTAGCTAAAAAAGTTTTATGATGTTTTAATTCATAAATAAGTTTTTCATAGTTTTACACATGGCACGTCTTGTTCACCCGAGTCTCATAGGTGTGCCCGAAGCCTATGGGATAGGGAGGGTCGGGACAGGTCGTGTCACCCAATGGTCAACTCTATTAGTGCCTAGGAAGACTCAAACTTAAGAGCTCATGAAACCTCCTTTTGCTATCATCAGGCGACCCAGTAGTGGTTCATAACAAAGAATGTTCGCTACAAATCCCAAGGTAAATTTGCTGTTACTAAAGTGAATTTCTAAATAAGTATTTTTAAAATTTGTATTACATTAGCAGAGTAGTTGGGACGTGTAATAAATTTTAGAGATTTCATAATGAAATTTCGCACCGGTAAAAGTAAACATACCTCTCATATAGAGAGTCAAACAATATAAACCCTTGTGTATACGGTTTGATTTATCCTACCCTTTGTTTACTTAATTTTATCGATTTTGTAGGGATTAAGGCTAGTAGTTAGAATAATAAATCCCATTATTTACTTAATCACATAGTTTAGATTATGTTAGGATCCCACATTGGAAAGGAAAAGGTGGGCATGTGGGTTATAAAGAAATTGGACACCCTCCCTTGGCAAGCCAGTTTTCCAAGGAAAGTTTTATTCAATCCCACAAAAGGTTCATTGCTCAACCCAATTCCTACAAAATGCCCATTGCCTAGCCAATTAATATCAATGGGAGTGGGTTCTTATCAATTGGTATCAGAGCATGATTCTACGTCCACGTGGACATCACCTACGTGGCAAGTTGACCTTGGGCCTAAGCTGCTACCTGAAGAAAGGGCATGGAGGCCCAAGGGAAAGAGGATCTGCGTAGTCACCCAAGGGGTAAAGAGGCCGACGAGGGTAAAGAGGCCGACATGGACGTCAGTTGTGGAAGCGTGGTGGTGTGTTAGGATCCCACATTAGAAAGGTGGCAGACTGACCTTGGGCCCGGGCTGTTATCCTGAGAAAGAGCATGGAGGACAGATGGAAATGGGATCCGCGTAGTTACCTAAGGAGTAAAGAGGCCGACGTTGACGTCAGCTACTGACGCGTGGTGGTGTGTTAGGATCCCACATTGGAAAAGAAAAGGGTGGACATGTGAGTTATAAAGCGCTTGAACATCCTCTCTTGGCAAGCCGGTTTTCTAAAGAGAGTTCGAGCCAAGCCTACAAAGGGCCTATTGCCCAAACCAATTCCGTATAAAAGGCCCATTACCCAGCCATTTAATATCAATTTGGGAGTGGGTACCTACCTCCGAGTCCTTTTATTTGTTTCTATGGAAAGTTCTTTACAGATGAACAAATATACAAGTGGCTCTAACAAAAAAGCATAAATATACAAACTGATACACACATAAATCAGAGTTCACTTTATTTCTGCAAAAAGGAGATATAATAACAGTAGTAATAGTGATTCTAGATATTAAAGTTCCATAAAGAAACTAGTGGGAATCAGCGAGGCCTGATGGTGGGGACAACACCACTAACAAGGTCGCTTCCAGCTTCAGGAAAGTCACCAGACACGTATGAGTTTCTTTCGGAATAGAGACTGGATAGAGAGATGATGTGGGATTCCTGAGGATCCTGAGGCTGAGATATTGAATCTGTTAGGATAGTTTTGATTCTGGAAGCATTGAAGAAGGTTCTCTAATTCTCTCACCACTTCCAGCATTGAAGGTCGACGCTCTGTCTCATCCTCACAACACTTGAGGGCTAATGCCATAAATCTTTTGAGACATTCGGAGTATGGACCCATGCCGGTCTATATAGAGTGCATCATCCCAGATGACATGCTGAATTACCTGTTGTTGCATTTAATCATGGCATCTTTCAGACGTTAGTGTGTGAACGAAGGCATATTGAAGAGTGCTGGGAAAAAAGTTAAAAAAAAAAAAAAAAAAAAATCGAAGTAACTTCTTGACAATGTTTCTACCATGAGAAATAGGCTTCATTCCTGTCAACAACTCAAGAAAAACAATTCAAGGCTATAAACATCACTCTCATCGGTTAACTGGTGAGTGAGGAAGTACTGGGGTCAAGGTAGCCCTGCAATAGGAAGATAAAGTGGGTTTCAAATTCACTCGAAAATTGAAGCATAGGTTGTCAGTGTTCTATCATTTAAAGGATCGATATGAGAAAGATGACTTGAGAAATCAAATTCATAACTGGGTTTCA